TTTTTTCCAGGGTTTTTGCTTGTTTTATGTCTATACAGGGTGCGTAATGGCTTAGATAGTGCAGTTCCCTCAAGTTTCCGTATGTTTGGCAGTTTACTCGAAGGCCAAGAAACCTCAACTTTCCGCTCTCACGAATTCTAGTAGCAACCTTGGATTTTTCCTCTAGGCCTTGCAAAGCTCGACCCCTTACAATATCACTCAGACCATAGAAACCAGACATAGATATGTTTCTATATGGTAGACCCCTGGGTTTCCTGCCTTTGGCTTTTCTGCCGCTCAGGAATCACAAGAAGACCAAGGACGTTCGACGAAGCTTTTTCAGGCAGGCCTCAGAAATGTACGAGGACAACCGCAAAAAGGCTAGTGCTTACCTCAAAGGGCAGAGGCCTCCGGCTGCTCGAGAGAAGGACGACCAAGAGGACGTTCCGAGGCCAGAAGAGGACGACGTGGAGGCAGCGGCTGCCAGACAGCGAGTGCTTCTGGACGTCTGGAACTGGACTCTCGGGTTGCCGTTGGGGCCGTTGGAGCCAACAGGCGAGGGCTCCTACGGCATGGTCTTTCGCACAAGCTTCCAAGGGCAGCCTCTCGTGCTCAAAGTGGCCAAAGCCCGAGGTCCAGAGGGCATGCGGCAGGTGGCTGCGGCAGGACAGGAGGTTGCAGACGAGTTCGGCGTTCTCACTGCGATCGGGCAGCACCCGAATGTCGTTCGGGCGTTCGCCGTTCTCACCAGCTCTCTTGGTCGGTCGGCCTTGCTGCTGGAGGCAGCGACCGAGAGCCTGCGAGCCGCCACTCAGAGGCTCAAAGCTGACCGAAACACCTGGCCGGTCAACCGCAAGTCGCTTCTGCCCTTGTTTCAGCAGTTCCTCCTCGGCCTCTCCTACGTGCACGGCCGTTCGTTTTTGCACCTCGATATCAAGCCAGACAACATCCTGGTCTTTGACGGTGTTCGAGCTGCCGTCGCCGACTTCGGACTCGCCCAGAAGCTGCTCAAGGATGGCTGTTCGGTCATCGGCAGCCGGGCCTACAGCGAGGCCTTTCGGTGCCCGGAGTGCCTCCTTGCAGGCGACAGCCAGGTGTGGGCATCACGAAAATCTCAAGCCTAGATAGGAGACCATGCACTGAAACCGCCCAATGCTCCTTCACAATTTCCGGAAATTCCCAATCTATAGAAAGTCCAAACCTAGTGCAGAACCCGGCCCCTACGACCCTTCAATCACATGACCCTGGAGGTTCGAGTCACGTTCGCGGCAGACGTGTGGGCGGCGGCCGTGACCTTTTTCGAGACTTTCTGCCCGCCGAACACGTCGCTCTGGAGAGTCTCACCGCAGACGTTCGTGCGGTCCACGGAGGAGGCTACTGCCAGGTCTGTTCGCAGCATGGCTACTGAGCTTTCTGCCAAAGTGATGCCGTACGACAAAATCGTCCTGGAGGTCCTCGAGAGGTCGTTCGTGCCGGCTAAGCAGAGGCTGTCTCTTGCCACCTTCCTGGGTCTGACGGAGAAGCCGGTCGCTC